TGCCGTGCAGACATTGCCGTGCAGGTAAAAGAGCCATTGACAGTTGGAATTCAAATACGAGTAGGTCGTAGTGACGCTGCCAGGGCAAAATCTTCCCCATAATACACACTATGACGTATGTCCGTCCTCATTCGCCAAGTCGGTGTAGACCAGTAGGACATTAAACCCCATATCCATTTCATTTCATAATGACAAGAATGAAGTTTGAACTTATTTTAAGAAGAGGCTAAGAAGAGCATCCCTATCAATTGTCTAAGTTGTGTTTCACCTTGAAATGCATTACTTTGCATAATGACAACTGACGGCAAATAGTCTTCACAAAAAAGACAATAAAAAAATCAAACAAAAAACAGCAGTTATATGTGTATTTAAGAAAAGTATAGCAACAAATAGAAATTTATTTTACAAAACAAAAACATAGACAGTAATAATATTAGATTTTGGAGAAGAAATGCAAATTTGTCGTAACCAAGTTGTAGTCCAAATGGACTATGAATTAACTTCCACAAATATGAACTATCTTATCAAATATTTTACAGGCGGTTCAGTCGGCATGGTACTAGTTCACTAACAGGAGTTCCTCCCACGACGAAGAGCGTGGTAATTGATACCTTCCCCTTGTCAGGGTTTAGTAAGACACACGAAGTCTACTCGTGCATTCGTTTCATAGCTATGTTCCTACCATATACATCCATCCTGACTCCCTTCCATGTACACGCTGGTCTTGACCCAAAATTTTAAGACTACAGAAAATCAATCTTAATAGACATAGTATAAGGAATGAATGTATGAATGAAATGTGGTTTAATGCATAGGCGTAGAAATATCCCGTACATACCCTAGTTTTTATTCATAATATACCTAACAAGCCAACAGTGAGGCTGATGTCCCCCACCGAAAACCTAAAATAAATAGATGACACATATTAAAATTAATCGCACATTTATTTTTTTAAAAGTATCGATCAATCAAACTATACACTAAGTTTCATCACGCTCTATCAGATAGAATCAAAGTTATCTTGTCCCTGCTTATCTCTGCTTACCGTAAGCATACAATGTTTATCATCGATCTCCATCAAGGCATTGACCTAATGAACACCTACACCAAGTTTGAACATTCTACCTCAATTAGAATGAGAGTTATTGTGTTCCAAAGTTTCGACCAATCAAGTTGCTTATCGCTCTGCTTACCCTGAGCAGAAAATGCTCATTATCAAACTTAGTCAGGGTATTAATGTAATAAAATTCTACACCAAATTCCATCATTCTCACTTAATTAGAACTAAAATGATTGTGTCCCAAAGCATCAACCAATCAAATTGCTCATCTCTGCTTACCCTAAGCAGAAAATGCTCATCTTCGAACTCCATCAAGGCATTGGCCTGATAAACACCTACACCAAGTTTGAACGTTCTAGCTCAATTTGAAGGAGAGTTATTGTGTCCCAAAAAAAGTGTGACGGGCGGACGAACCCATTTTAATAGTCCCGTGCTTTCTTCGAAAGGCGGGGGACAATAAAAAAAAATTGGTAATGCCAGGACTTTTTCTAATTTTTTTCGTTTTCTTTTATCTACTGACAATCAATTCTTTGTATAAATTGTCAGATATCCTCTCACAGTCAAATATTATAACAACTTTTTTGGCCTTCGAAGCAATTGTCAAACTAACCCTATATAATCATACTAATCACCATATTATGATCCTATAATCAAAACGAACCAGGTTTAAATTCCTACTGTTCTGAACCAACCGATGAATATGTTATAATCATAGGATTATTGATTTAGACCACCTGTGTGATAGAACAGTCATTACTGAATATATGCAACATTAAAGGTAACTAATTATATTTAATAACATATGACAGGGAGGGAGGGGGGGTAACATCCACTCGACACAAATTAGGTCATTTCGGGACTAACGTATGGTTCAATTTTATTTCAATAATTCGCTAGCGCGTAGGTGTCCTTAATATAGCAGTGGGAGGACCCGGAGAAGACACAAGAGGTTGGACAGGCGACCCTACTCCTTCGCCCCCGCCACCCCAGCTGGTTAAGCAAATCTTATGGTAAATGATGTAAATGCCCCTTTTAGTTAGGTTACTGATAGGCCTACAGCAATCTGAGAACTTTTTAACGGAAAAGTAGGCGCAGTAAAAAGATCTAATTAACAACTTTAATGGATCCTTAATCAAAACAAACCACAATTCAATATAAACCTAGAATACATGAATCCAATAACTGACAGCGTAAAGGATAGGAGAACAGGAGCTTCCGAATTATCAAGCTGCTCTGTGGTGCTTATTGCATTGAAAGTTGTGGCTTCAGTAGTTGTTGATTCTGACTCCCGAACTGCATTTAAAGTCGTAGCTTTAGTAGTTGTTGATTCTGATCCCAGAACTGCAATTTAAAAACAATATACAGTACAATGGGCAATTAGTATTCTAAATTTACTATAAATTCTCGAGAACCTCTTTTACTCAGTGATTAAGACGGTGGTTCACTCACTCGGAAGGTAGGGGTTCGACCCCGGCGTTGATCGAGAAAGTTCCCCGTAAAAAAAAGGTGAGTCGCGGTGGCTCGGTAAGTAAGACGTTGACTTGCTAACATTGAGGTCCCATGTTGGGTGAGAAAGTACATTGGGATTTTCCAGCGTGGTATCCCCTTGTCAGTTGTGGAAAACGGAGGACCTGGCAAATACTGTGTCTAATCGAAATGAAATTGGGTTTAACGTCGTTCGGGTGGGATAAAAAAAATACCTAGTTCCCGTGAATACATTGGCTTATATGTAAAAGATCCCTTGCCAGTTTTAATTCGAAGCAAGAGTAGGTCGTAGCGCCGCTTCCGGTACAAATATCCCTCTAGGTGCATGACCAGATTGTTTTTATTCACCCAAAATAGAACAGGTTCAAATAAAAAAAATATTGGTGTACTTCTATCTAAATATTTTAAGGGACCATGAACACAGAAAATGATCCAATATGTGCCTATCAAAATTGAACGTATAAGGTAGTGGATAACATTTGTGGTAAATTTAGAGTTTTTAACTGTGACGTTCACACTCATCTCAGATCTGCTCCTAAGCTGTCTGACTACATATCAGGCACAGAATATAATATTCAATTTTATCATCTACTTCACCCTAAAATACGCAGTAAATCTATGAGTGCTGTTGAAATAAACGAGAAACATAGGTTGCATACCCGGGTCCTGACTTGAGAAAGAAATAGAAAATCCCCTTCGAGTATCTCTGTAGTCGGTTTTAAATTTGACTATCAACTGATTCAAGGTGATCAAAATAGGTTCAGGTAGTGTATTCCCACAGAACGAAAGCCTAGTTGAGCCGTTGTTAAATGATAGTGAATCATAACCACAAGCAGATTGATGTTCACCCTGACCTACAATATCGCCAACAATCACGTGCCCTAACCTTATAATACATCTCAACGAACTTGACAAAAATTGAGCTGGCCTTAACAAATAGATTTAGCCACACTTAGTCTGAAGTATTCAGCCTCAATCCCAAAACAAACAAGTGAAAAAATTATTACACATTCAAGTCACTGAAGGACTAGGGTTACAATCGAGCAGAGCTTGGGAATTTTAACTCTCCCATAATTAGAATCAAAGTTATCGTGTCGCAAAATATCGACCAATCAAATTGCTGATCGCTGCTTCGATTAGCGAAAAATGTTAATAATCGACCTCAGTTTAGACATTTTCCTTGGGCAATCACATCTTTTATCCCTACTGAGCATAAACAGAAAATCTCCGAGCCACATTATTTAGAATCAGTCTTAATGTGTTCCATTTCAATTGTGTATCTCGACTTAGCCTTAGTGAAAAACATTCATCATCCAGTCCCGACATTCACCTAACAAATACCTACACTACGTTTCAAAGTTCTTTTTTAATTCGAAGGGGCGTCACTGTGTTCCAAAGTCTCAATCAATCTTATTTGTGTCCATACTTAGCCTAACCAGAAAGTGCTCATCATCGAACTTAATCAAGGTGTCAGTGTCCTGATACTATACATGTACACCACGGTTCACCAGTCTCACTTAAATTAGAATAAAATTGATAGTGGCCCAACGCATCGACTAATGTCATAACATGTTTTGCTTATCCTAAGCTGTAAATGCTTAATCGTCAAACTTAATCAAGGCATTCGCCCAATAAAAAACATTCACCAGGTTTGACCATTCTGCCTCACGTTGAAAGGGGTTATTGTCCTCAAAAAACGTGGACGTATGGACAGACAAACAGACTGTTCCATTTCAATTGTTTCCTACTTGCTTTTCCATAAATGACACTGTCTTACGCTGAATCAGTGTTATCTAACCAAAGTTGTTAGATAGGTGATAATTATCCAGGAGCCTATGTAAAAGAACAGATATAGTTTGATTGTGGACTCATCAAATGGTAAATATAACATTCATAAAAAGAAACTTTATGGTGATACACATGTAGACCAAAGTAATTCTTGTAGATCAGTAAATGTTAGCAGAATCCATTTTCCGACAGGAACTGTAATGGTATAAACGCAGACGAGGTTGTCGTCGTAATTCAACAGATAGTTGGGAGATGTTATAGTTCCATTTACTCCCTCCGTATTCTGATTACAACCTGATAAGATAATAAATTCGGGTATTAGTTACAAAAATAATTCATATTAAAACTAACGAATACGATTTCCTCAAGAGAACTGTAAAGCCATTGAGTATGTCGAAAGCACGTAAAATACACAAACCTGATCTAACCGTTGTGCCGGAGGTAGTTGAAACTGTCGTACCAGAAACATTTTAATGTCTTGTATTAGAAGGGATTGTTGTACCAGAGCCATTTGAATTTGTTGTACCAGAAACATTTGAATTTGTTGTATCAGAAGCGATTGTTGTTCCCGAATCATTTGAATTTGTTGTACCAGAAGAGATTGTTGTAGCCCTACCAGAAACAGTTGCATTGATTGTTGCAGAAGAACTGACGGAAACTGTCGTACCAGAAGCGGTTGAATTAGTTGTAGCAGAATCAGCTCCATTTGTTGTAGCAGAAGTAAATGTCATTGTCGTTGCAGTGTCAATCGCATTTGTTGCGGCAGGACTAACTGACACTGTCGTACCAGAATCGGCCAAGTTGGTTGTAGCAGAACTATCTACAGTTGCATTAATTGTTGCAGAAGAACTTACGGAAACTGTCGTACCAGAAGCGGTTGAATTAGTTGTAGTAGAATCGGCTCCATTTGTTGTACTAGAAGTAACTGTCATTGTCGTTGCCGAGTCAACCGCGTTTGTTGCAGCAGGACTAACTGACACTCTCGTACCAGAATCGGCCAAGTTGGTTGTAGCAGAACTATCTACAGTTGCATTAATTGTTGCAGAAGAACTGACCGAAACTGTCGTACCAGAAGCGGTTGAATTAGTTGTAGCAGAATCAGCTCCATTTGTTGTAGCAGAAGTAAATGTCATTGTCGTTGCAGTGCCAATCGCATTTACTGTAGTATGGCTAACTGACAGTGTCGTACCTGAAACGGCCGTGTTGGTTGTAGCAGAACTACCTCCATTTTCTGTAGCAGAACCAAATGACACTGTCGTGTCAGAATCGGCCGCATTGGTTGTAGCAGAATTAGCTGACCCAGAAACAGCTGCATTTGATGTGGCAGAACTAACTGGCACAGTCGTACCAGAAACGGCTTCATTTGTCGTAGCGGATCTATCTGACGCTGAAACAGCGTCATATGTTGCAACAGAACTAACTGTCGTGCCATCAGTCGCTTCATTTGTCAAAGCAGAACCATTGGACACTGTCGTACCAGAATCAACGTCATCTGTTGTACCAGAAACCGCTCCAGTTGTGGAAGCAGAACTAAATGACTCTGGGACCGGGTACGTCATTGTATTAGAACTAACTGTCACTCTCGTACCAGCCTCATGTGTTGTACCAGAAACAGTTCCATTTGTTGTTTCAGAAAAAGCTTCATTTGTTGTATCAGAAACGGCGTCATTTGTGGTAGCAGAAACAGCTTCATTTGTCGTATCAGAACCAGCTCCATCTGTTGTACCAGAAACAGCTTTATGTGTTATACCAGAAACAGTTCCATTTGTTGTATCAGAAATGGCTTCATTTGTCGTACCAGAAAAAGCTCCCTTTGTTATATCAGAAACGGCGTCATTTGTGGTAGCAGAAACAGCTTCATTTGTCGTGCCAGCACCAGCTTCATCCGTTGTACCTGAAACATCATCATTTGTTGTACCTGAAACAGCCCCATTTGTTGTATCATAAACAGCATCATCCATTGTAACTGAAACAGCCCCATTTGTTGTATCAGAAACCATTGCATTTGTATCAGAGACAATTGCATTTGTTGTACCAGAGACAGCTTCATTTGTCATACCAGAAACAACTCCATTTGTCGTACCAGAAACAACTCCATTTGTCAGAAACAACTCCATTTGTCGTACCAGAAACAACTCCATTTGTCATACCAGAAACAACTCCATTTGTCATACCAGAAACAACTCCATTTGTCGTACCAGAAACAACTCCATTTGTCATACCAGAAACAACTCCATTTGTCACACCAGAAACAACTCCATTTGTCGTACCAGAAACAGGTACATTTGTTGAGGTAGAACTGAACGAAACTGCAGTACCTAAACAGGTGGGAAAACAAATGTATAAAATATAGTCATGATCTAGAATTTACTGGGTAATTATGTGTCGATTATTGTCTATAAATACCTGAAGATAAATATTTTGAATGCTTGTGGCCACAGAGGTTCTTATTATGCCGATGTCTTAATAAAATCACCGAGAAGATGAATTAGGCCGTAAACGCTTTGTTAAGTGATTCTGGAAAGCCGACTCTTTGCGTTATCTTTTTTGGACAATATGTGTGAATGTCTCGGATTTAGCTAATCAGATAGCCTCAATAATACGGTGTCGGTGATTCTCCTCAAACGGCGAACGCAACAAAAATTAGGGAGAATGCGGCTTGATGATCGGGATTCCTTTATTTTCCGCGCATTTTTTTTATTTTTAATTACCGGAAAATTCACAACGAAACGAAGAAATGCAATGTGTTGGTAATACAAGAAGGCGTCTATTTTAAATGCAATTTTAAGTCATGTCTTTTATTCATTTAATTCATTAAATATTCGCTATCTGTGGTTCTTCTTTTATATGGGGGATCACGGTGGCTAAGTGGGAAGACGCTGGCTTGCTAGCCTGGAGGTCGGGTGTTCGATCCCTGCATTGGCCGAGAAAGTTCATCCCGATTTTCCGGCGTGTTTTCTCCTTGTCAGTGATGCAGTACGGAGGGCCAAACAAGGACAACTGTCTAGTCGTTCGGATGGGACGAAAAACCGAGGTCCCGTGTACACATTGGCGTGCACGTAAAAGATCCCTTAGCAGTTGGAATTCGATACTATATTTAGACCTATAAATCCATTTTTTCTTGGATAATATTGTATTCAAGATATAGACATAACAGACCCACTGGCCTAATAAGAGCAAATCCCCGCGGTTTGCTGAACACATTGAAAATGTATAGGACCGTTCTTCTACTATTCAGGGCTACAAAATATCTAATTTTGATAGAAAATACTAGTTTTTAGTTTGAAGAAAATGAAACTGACAGAAACTTAACAACAAAACTAACACATTGCAAGGATTATTTTTATATATATTTTATCAGCGTAGGTCTATTAACAGACACTATGGCTATCGCCATGCCTGGGCAATGGTTCTTTTCCATTTGACTACGCAGTTTAGTCGGTCATATTTAGTTTACAAAGTATGCAATAATTCTGCCCATTTATTTTAAGTCAGAGATCTGATCTTCTTGAAATCTAATTTTGGCTGAATAACTGTAAATAATAGTTATTATTATTTCATCAGCGTAGATTTATTAACACAGATAAACGAATATTTAAGTAAATTAAAGACATGTCTTTAAATGGCATTTAATATAGACGCCTTCTCGTATTATTCGCACATAATTCCTTGGTTTTGTTGTGAATATTCGGTAGTTAAAATTTTTACATCAGAATAAATAAAAAAAATACGCGGGAAATAAAGGAATCCCTATCACCAAGTCGCCTTATCCTTATCTTTGACGGTTTTTGTGAGAATCACAGACGCCGTCGATAGTACATCAGCTAATTAAATGCATAAAAAAGGGAAAACGTTGAAATAAGGATCAAAATTGGCCCAAATACTCCTTGGGAACTAATCGTTTGAAAAAGCTCATTAACCATTTAAAAAACCAAGATGGTCGACTTTCAAACAACGAAATATCATTTTGACTGTTCCTTAACAAATATTTCGACAAACATTGGGGCCTATAGAGAGTCCACAATTCAAATTTTGTGTAAGATGATAGGGCCATAATTCGAATAACGAAGCTCCGATGCGCACCAAAATCAACACCCCATCCCCGCCGTTACATCATTTGATCATTAACGTATTTATTAAGTTTAATATAAATCGGACCAATAATTGTGTGCTCAAGCGGCTTAGCAGACTGTGTACATAATTCGTATTTTGTGCAAAAGACAAGGGTCATACCTATCCGAGATATGTGTGTCCTCTCTCTCTCTCTCTCAATTTTACAGATTCATCGATTACAAATAATTAAGTATAAAATTAACGAATGCCCTTTCCTTAGTGCCGTGGCGTGCAGAGGGTTAATAATGATGCCCCAAAACCTCAAGTATAAGAAATAATGTTGAGAAACGAAGACATTTTAAATCTGGAAAGTTTGTATCCAAATTAAGAAGCACGGCGCTGTGTAGTATACAACTTTCCCTACAAATTTATTAAATGAGTAAAAATTAAAGAATACCCGCCAAACATAACCAGCAACAGACTTGTAGATTTTTAAGATCTTTATATGAATCAACGTTTCGGGTGTAATACCCTTTTTAAAGATCTTTAAAATCTACAAGTCTGTTGCTGGTTCTGTTTGGCGGGGATTCTTTAATTTTTACTCATTCTACTACTCCGCCCCGCCGGCATCAGTTTTTGATCCAGTCCCGACGCAGATGTACCTGCCTGTCCAGCTATCTTTTTAATTCAAGGGAGTGTTGCCGTACCCCTCTCCGTTTTCCAAATTTATAAAATAAAAACATTACTTCCACTCTTTTTAATCCCACAGTCTCAGACGATATTAAATCAACTAAAAGAGTATTTCAAACTTTTATAGTATGGTTTCCGTCTTTAATTGTCCTGTACCGGGAATTCCACAAACCTGATATAATTGTTGTACCAGGGCTATTGTTAACTATCGTACTAGACTCGTATGAATTTGTTGTACCAGTACCCGGTGAAATGGTTGAAGCAGAAACTGAAAGATATATGGATAACATGAGTGATAGCTATACGGAATAAGCACATGCACCTATTGAGAGAGAGGGTGGTGGGGAGGGGGCAGGGTTAATGTCCACTCGATACGAATGATGTCATTTTTGTTTTAACAGTGTATGGTTATTTTTTTTTTCGAATTCGCTTCAGTGTAGAGGTTTTGGGCAGTGGGAGGAATCGGAAATAACCCACAAGGTTGAACAGGCGACCATACTCATTATCACAAACAAGCTGAGAATTGAAAAGACTGCAGTTGACTCAATGACAGACCTTGTGATCTAAAGCGTACGCGTTAGACCATTCGGCCACCCAACTCCCTATATCAAATACTACGATATTATATTAAGGGAGACACGAATGAAGTACTACATCTAATTGGTCCTAACTTAGTAATACAAGATTAGGATTTAGACATTTGGGTATTAAATTTAAAACAAGCGGTTGTCATGCAAGATACGCCCGAATGTTTCGTAACATCACGGGCCATAATCCAGGAAGTTACAGTCAGATATGCGCCAATATCGAAAGGAACAGCGATCTTTGGGTTATATAAATATACTTTTCAAGTTTTATCAAAAGCAGATACAAAGGCCACATCTAGAGTGACCACAAGCTAAAAACGTGATTTTTTGTACAATCAGGGGCCATAATATATCCAGATACATGCCAACATCAAAAGGAACCGAGATCTTTGCGATATAAACCTATATTTCTATGGAAAACCAAACAACTCTTTATTCAATGTTCTTAATTCTTAGGTCTTAATTCATAGTCCTTAATTCTTATTTCTTCATTTGTTGTCGTATTTCGACATTTTTACACTAAAATTAACATTTCTATCTTAAAATCAATATTTGTTTTACAAATCAGAGATTTGTCATATCAGATTTGTACAATGTGTCTTTGTTTAATTTCATTTCATTTTAATATAAAGATAATATTTATTTTAGTAAATCAAAAAATAACCTACATTTACATTCCATCATAAACATACAATGGAAAACAAATCTCGAACAACAAATTTCTAAATACAAATCTCCAAATACAAATCTTGCAAAACATTTCTCCAAAAACATTTCTCGAAATTCATCGAAACGGAACATCATGACGACATGAGCGGAAATCAGCCTGGCATACAATAAGTCCCCATACAACAAAGGAGAATCTAGCAAACATATATACAATAAGAAAAAAATCGCTCGATGACCGCGACTTTAGTGAAATCGTGTGCGTGCTCTCTCTCTCTCTCTGTATATATAATATATATATTGGTTAATCTGATCTAGCATATATAATATCTGTATCTGTATATATAATATAT